CCCCAAAACCCCAAAACCCCAAAACCCCTTTTTTGAGAAATTCAGATGAATTCTAAAGTTAATGTTTAGGAATCAGATTGACCAGTTTTAGATTGTGGAGTGGAGCTATCACTTTCTGATCAACTCTTTTCTAAAATTTTCTCAATCTTGTTCTTTGAAGGGGTCATCACTTGAGGAGAACCGAGTTCAAAGAATTGAAGGAAGTTGTGATCTGGAGCTATTAAAGTTAACTTCTTTTTCTTAGTCTTCTGAACTCCACCTTCATTATTTAAAGCTGCCACCATTACTTTCTTAAAAGCTTGTTGATAACCCCACTTGAAGGAAGACTCCCTCGAATTCAGTAGCCTAGACGCACAGTTAACTCCACTCCAACCCCAAAAACAAGGTTGCCTTGCCCCCAGTGTTCATGACCAATAAAATCCCAAAAGTGATCGCCAGACTTGCCATTTTACAAATTTTGGGAAGAAAATAGAAAAATTGGATTATGAAGAAATTAAAAATTTTGCGGGAAAATTATTTTTGAAAACACGAAAATTAGGAAATACTTCTGTAAGTTTCGACAAGAGGTTTTACAGCTTTAGAGTATACCTATCGATGGGATGTATAAGGATTTCATTAATGCTTGTTTGGGGAAAGAGTAGTTTTCTGTGTTTCGAATAGAGAAAGAAAGCGTAAACCATGATTTTTAAAACAAAATCAATAAGAGCTACTTACGACATCCCAGTGAGAGGTCTTTCTACACTTGGAGAGTTGGGCATAAAGTTACTGATCTCAGAATGTGAAGAGATTTGTAGCCTAGAGTCTCTTCTTTGCTGGTCAGGTTTATTTCAAAATTCCAATAGGTTGCATCTATACAGTTATTAAAACTTAGTTACCTGATTTTTGTTCCCTTTCAGTCGAACTGGTGTAAACTCTCCTTTCTCGATAAAGGAGTCTATAAAGTCATTAGTAAGAACATGTAAGATTCGAGATGCGGCTGTCAGTAAATTCAGTAAGCTGGAAGAGTCTCCATTAGGAAAAATTTGTAAATCTTACTATTAGAATACCCCAAATCATGTCATGAGGCATATAAATTATAAACAGTTGAAATAATTTGAACAATTATTGAAATTCAAGAAAATCTTGCCCAGTTTGCATTTTATGGCGTATGTAAAACTGGCATGATTTTGGAGAAGAAGCTGTTGAACTCATAAATCTGGTGACCATAGAATACAATGGAATAGCATTAAAACTTCTTAGTGACTAGTAATACCCGAATTTATGACATAAACTACCCTTCTAGATTAAAAATACTTCATCGTATTCGCAAGTGAATGTTGCGAAAAAAATAAGTTACCTGCTTGAACTACGTCTTGAAGGCAACTTTTTCTCTTAGATTTTGCTATGATCTTAGCATTAGGGCTTTTACATCACAAAAGACGCCTAAAGTTGATCTCTTTTATCGCTTACATTCATTTATACAACTTAAAGTGCTTATTGTGGTCAGCTTGGCTTTCTACTTTGGCCATTATAGGTGCTATTGTTATTAAAGAAATTATTATTTCCAAACGTAGTTAAAGGGGTTTTGGGGTTTTGGGGTTTTGGGG